TACCTGCTTTGTCAAATTTTACTGAGCTTTAACTAACTGGTTGTTAGCCGTTCACGGCACACAACTTTATAACTCTAAAAGGAATTATTTCAATAAAAACAACCCGTAAAGGAAATAAGTTTATTTACCACGACATTTTCCCAATGGGAAAATAATTTAATTATATTCACCAGATTTAAATTTAAAAATCAGGTATACTATAGTGAAGATTACCACATGTGCACAGAAATAAGTCTACTAATTCTTACATATATATTAAAAATATTGGTTATGCCAAAATTAAAAAGTTTATAAAGTAAGATGAAAAATTCTACGCCGAAATAAGTGTTTTTAAACAAATTCCATACAAATTGAAGATGTTATAATTCCAAATGTATTTGAAATTAAACATATATGTTTTCTAACAATTAATTTAAATGTAAGCTTTATGATAAAAAATGTCTATTTATGTCTTTTAACAAAGACCTTATTTGTATTTTACCAAATAATATTGAAGTTCAATAAACTTATTTCCTTTACAGGTTGTTTTTATTCAAATAATTCCTTTTAGAGTTATAAAGTTGTGTGCCGTGAACGGCTAAGAACCAGTTAGTTAAAGCTCAGTAAAATTTGACATAGCAGGTAAACTAAACTAAAGTATACACGAGAAAAAGGAAAACAAAAAGCGCGAATGAAACCAGACGTTTGCGTACGAAACAGGACCGAAATGGACAAAGGAAATGCAGGCAAACCGAACGCGGATTAAAGCAGAGGTTTGCAATTAAAAGCAGATGTTTGCAGATGTTCGCGGATAAATGCAGATGTTTGCGGATAAAAGCAGATGTTTGCGGATAAAAGCAGATGTTTGTGGATAAAAGCAGATGTTTGCGGATAAAAGCAGATGTTTTCGTATAAAATCAGATGTTTGCTGATAAAAGCAGATGTTTGCGGATAAAATCAGATGTTTGCAGATAAAAGCATGTTTGCGGGTGAAACCGTATGAAAGCAGATGTTCGCGGATAAAATGAGATATTTGCGGATAAAAGCAAATGTTTGCGGATGAAAGCAGATGTTTGCGGATAAAAGCAGATGTTCGCGGATGATTGCAGATGTTCGCGGATAAAATGAGATGTTCGCGGATGAAAGCAGATGTTCGCGGGTGATTGCAGATGTTCGCGGATAAAAGCAGATGTTCGCGGATAAAATGAGATGTTTGCGGATAAAAGCAGATGTTTGTGGGGGTGCACTAACCGGATGAAATCAAGCGTTCGCAGATAAAAGCATGTTTGCGGGTGAAACCGGGGGTGCACTAACCGGATGATATCAGGCGTTCGCAGATAACAGCATGTTTGCGGGTGAAACCGTATGAAAGCAGACGTTCACGGGTAAAAGCAGATGTTCGCGGATAAAAGCAGTTGTTCGCGGGTGATTGCAGATGTTCGCGGATGAAAGCAGATGGTCGCGGATAAAAGCAGATGTTGGTGGATAAAAGCATATGTTGGCGGGTGAAATTGGACTAGGCAGACGTTTGCGGATAAAACCAGACGTTTGCAGATAAAACCGGACAAAAATAGAAAAAAAAAATGCAGGTAATCGCGGATAAAACCAGACGTCAGCAGACGTTTGCAGATGATTCCGGACAAATTTAGATATAAACGAAAAACAGTGAAGACGGTTAAAAACAGATGATTGCGGGGGTGCACTAACCGGACATAAAACACAACTAACCGGGTTGTTCGCGGATATAGCGATGCGGACAAAAGCAGATGTTATCAGATGATATTTTTACCCGCTTTTATCTGCTTTTATCCGGCTTCGACGAAGAATTTATACCCGCAATCATCTGCTTTTATCCGGTTTTGACGAAGAATTTATATCCGCAATCATCCGTCATTTTCAGCAGGGCAGTGTGGACACGACACTGTCGACCAACTTGTAGGAGTGGAACACACCCAAAACAAAGAAATACGTGAGCTTATATAACATGGTTGGTAAGGCAACAGAGGCGAGATGTAAGAACATCACGTGATCAACACCGTTTAACGACGCGTCGCGACGTGGCCTTCGCCGCAATCGGTACATACTATGCAACCAAGTAGGTTCAAGTATTACCAGTAATGGGTCAAGAAAGTTCATTGAAGAAACTAAGAAAATTGAATGTTTAAAATGTCATGAGTTACTATATTGTATATTATATTTAAATATATTGTTTATTTACCTTAAACATAAAAGTATCTTTATTTTTACTATATTTTTTATTAATGTGTAATATATTATAATATTAGATGTACACCTTACATTTGATTAAATCATATAGTAAATATAACTATTTGTAGATAGTAAAATCAATTTACTATACGAACATATTAAAAATTAAAATATATATTATATATTTATGATTTGGTAATATTGGTGTTGTAATCTTTACTAAAATTGTATAATAAATAATAGTATTTTGTATTACAATCTTAATATTGTATTGACGAATATATAATATTGTTACCCTAAAAATTTGTTAAAGTAAATTTTACTATATTTTTTTACTATCTAAAATTTACTATACATTTCTCTCGGTGCATAATACTGTCCAGGTTAGCATTTTGTTCTGGGTAGATTCCATGAATTAAGAGATAAATGTATTTTAAAAGTCTTTTTTGAACTCCATACATTGTATACGATGGCATGTGTACTACCAGATCAAACTTGCATACTCCAGCTTGCTTGCTATAAATGACATATAAGGACCTTATTAAGGACACATTTACAAATTCTCTTGTAGCTCAAATAACAAATCCCAATGACCTGCCAGCTGCTGAACATTGTTTATATGTGGTAAAAAAGAAAGTGTTTGATCAAACAAAACGCCCAAATCAGTTACAAAAATAAAGACCTACCTACATGGAGAAAATAAAACCATTATAATAAAACCATTGATGCGCAGAACAGTAATGCCGTCAATATACAATTTCTAATAAAACTTTAGGGATTACTTTAACAACAGCAATAGTTATTTTTGTCACATCAATGAGTATTGCCTGGAACTATATAAAGTGAGCAATAATTTGCACATGTGCACTACCTAAAAAACACCAATAGTTATTCTTTATAAACATTAATCGCTAATGTCTTAAAACTAACCATTAATCTAAACATTCGTTTCTTTATACTGCTGCAGAGACTCTGCCAGAGTCACGAGTAGTTTCTATTTCTCCGCTGTGATTGCTGTTTCGCGCAGTAACCAGTCGTGTCAAAAACTACACATTTTATTGTATTTTAAGTTAAAATACATTAAAATTTTGTCACTCTCATATCTCACATTGTAAGGTTAAATTATATTATAAATGTATAGAATTTGTGATCCAAAATTAATGTCATTAGGTATACACCGTGTCCAAAGTTATCTGCTTGCCATTGCTAACTCTGTTATTATTGGAGCTATATACAAAGTCGGTTAAATTAGCAATCGGTAGCATTTTTAAAATGAATTTTTAAAATGCTGAAAACAGAAAAACAATTAAACGTCGGATTTTTTTTTAAATGGGACAACCTGCATATTTTAAGATATTTTAAAAAACAATGTAATTTGAAACAAAACAATATTATTGCATAAGTACCCTAAACTTGACAAAAACCAATTAATTAGCTCTTGAACTTTTTGATTGTTTTTAAAATAAAGTAATAATTTTGGTTAGAATTTTACAAAATATTTATAATTTTCAAAATTTTTAAACCTTTACATTTTGAAAACTTCCACTCCGCTTTGTTTTTAGGTTAAACAATGTATATTACATATAATATACATTGTTTATATAATATGTAGGTATATAGCTACACATTATATTCCTAATAGCGTTTTGATTATTTTGGATCGCAAATTTTATGAATACATAATATGAGATGTTAGTGAATATTTAATTTATAATTTTTTAGCAATACATGCGCGGTGGATTTGTAAGTGTATTTTGTGACACGGAACAGCACTCACAGCGAAGAAGTACGCACTACTCGCCAGTGCTGCCGCGAGCTTTTAATCGAATGTACTATTTTTGTCAGTGAAAATGTACTGTAATGTACTATAACCAAATTTATCCTAAAATGCTGTGCTATTACCATTAATTGATTTTTAATATATTTTTGTATATTAAATTAATAATTAAGGTGCTTTGACTGCTGAGGTCATTGGCACCAAACATATTATTATTATTGTAATTAATATGGGGGGGGGTTGATAAATACAATTATTTTACTTAACTCTTTATAAATTAATAAATAATAAAATATAAATTAAAAAAATCAACAAAGTATGTATTAAACTATATTATAAATATAAAACATAAAATAAATAACTTTAAACATTTTCGAAAACCCTCATTTTGAGAGTTCTGTACCATTTTAGTAAAATTTTATAAAATGTACTGTAAATCATGTTATTTTTAGATAAATGTACTTTCGTACTTTTCATGAAAATTCAAGCAAAAATGTACTGTAAATAGTACAAATGTACTAGAACGGCAGCACTCGCGACTCTGCAGCAGTGTAAATAAATGAGTGTTTGGACATCAGCGGTAATTTGCACACGGAAAAAAGAAACATTAATCAACTTAATATACAATGTCAGTGTCAATGTACCATTCAACATACAATTTCTAATAAAACATCAGCAATACATCAGCAATAGTTAGTTTTGTGACAACAATGAGTACTTAATGTCAGAAACTGTGGGGATCAATATTCTGCACATTAATTATTATTTTGAATAAAATAAGTGGATAGCTGTTCTGCGCTCGGTTTTGCGCATCAATGGTTACTGTTTTATTTTCTCCGTGTAGTTGTCTCTTGGGACAAATATACATTTTCAAACTTTGTGACCACTCTGCTATTTCCAGTTTTAATAGTCTAATATTATTTTTTTAGGAAGCAGACAAAGAGTAACTTTTTTTGTAAAATTAACAATAAAAAAAGTTTCCCATATGTAGACATTTTAACACACTGGATATACAATTATTGTTTTTGGATTTCAGATGGAATTTCGGTATGGTCTTCTTCTAACAGTATTCATATTTGGTATCACGAATTGTCAACTTGACGACATCGAAGAAATGTTTAGCCGAAGAAAATATTGCGGCGAAAATTTATCCAGAATATTATCCACAATATGCCAAGGCAAATACAACACACTTATTAAAAAGGATTGTAAGTAATTGTTATAATTATTACTAATAATTTATTAGGGCATTTTTTACATTTTCATTCACATTAACTTAATCTATAAATTATGTACCTACGTACATATTATGTACCTAATTCATATTTGTGTCAATTTATTAAAAAAAAATTAACTAAAAGTTATATTATGCCACATTTGAAATTTAGCGGTTCAGTTGCAATTAATTTTTTGTCCATGAAAACGATAACGCATCCTCTAGCTAATGCACGTGTTTTGTAAATTTGAACGTTGAAGCGCGCTAACATGTAGGTATATTACTGGCAAGTATATACAAAAACAATATTCAGACTGAAACTATACAATATACATGTACATTAGGCCAGTTCATTTGGAATGAACATTTTATTTTTTTCATTCCCCATTAAAAATCCTGTTCTTCATGTAAAAATATTAATTCAGTTTTATTTTGAGCTCTAATAATAATTTTAAGATCTGGAACAACGTCGTTAAAGTTTTTCCATTAAAAAAGCATTTACCTAAATATATTGAGTGGTTCTTTGCAACGAACATTTTATTTTTTTAATTCCCTATTAAAAATCCTGTTATAATAATTTTTAGAACGAGAACAACGTCGTTTATCCATTAAAAAAAGCATGTAGATACCTAAATATTGCTTTTATTTGATTTAATAAAACTCATCACCACATGTATGTACCTATCTTATTAATTAAAAGTTTGATTTAGATCCTTTTGAATTTTTTATACTCAATTAACGTTTATTTATATTTTTTCAATTAATAAAATATTAAGTTACTAGTGCGGAAAGTGCAGACACTTCGACTTCAGTCGAAGGAACGACGCGTAGCGGAGTGTGGTCATCAGTCGAGTGCGGAAAAGACACTTTCCGCGCATGTTAGGTAAACTATTTTTTCTACAACAAGAAAATCTCGAAAGTTTCCATTGTAGAAAATAGTTATATACCTAACTCGAATGCTGACCGGACTCCGCTAAAAAGTGCAACTTTCCGCACGCTTGTAGAAAAAATAATATTTCCAAAAAACTTGGTTTTTAACAACAATTAACCAAACCTTTTCAATAAGCCTCGGGGAGAGAGGGTTTGGAGGTCACCCCCCTAGTTGATCGATTTTGACTTTTATTTATTTAAACATATATTGTCACCTAATTTCAAAACCTATCCCTCCTTATGAATTTTCTGGTTACGCTAATGCATACCTTGGGTATTTACCCAAATTTCAATATACCAGGAATTTGCCTATCACTGCTTGCAATGAAATAAGTATTAAGTTTTAGGTATATGGACAGTGAAATAAAAGATATTATAATTTAACTTTTAAATATTTAATTGTCTTCAGTCTAAGACAACTCGGAAAGCAAGCGTAGAGGAGACTAAAACTAAAAGTGATACAAAAATATTATTAGAGCACACACGCCCTATTTCATTCTTACATAAACATATGCAAGCACGTAACATTAACTGTGCTGATATTATAAACAGTAAATCTACGAGGTAAAGATAAAGAAGTTTTATTTAATAATATTTGGTTTAACTAATATATGTTTATATCAGCTCACACGCCACCTCAAATATTATTCAAATAAGTAAAATTAAAATAACATAAAACTAAAATTATGTTAACATAAAACTACAATACCATGTAACTAAATAACATACGTAAGTTATAACTTAAGAATATAAGTATCTAGACCTGCTTTCCTTATGTTTGTCTTTTCTGGGAAAATTACAATGATGGTCCAGCATTTGCTGTTTAAGATTAGGGAAAACCCAGAAAAACCTAATCAAACCATTTAACTTATTCAATACTTTCTAACCCTAATTCCTTTTTTAATTCTTCAAATCTCAGTGCCGGTAATGATTTTGTAAACATGTCAGCTACTTGCTTATCTGTGGACAAATGTTTTAATTTAATTACACCTTTCTCTACTTGTTCCCTAGAAAAATGATACTTTATATCAATATGTTTTGATCTTTTATGATTTGTTGGATTATTAGCAATACTTATGCAACCATTATTGTCTTCATATATAATGATTGGCTTAGATACATTTAAATTTATACTTATTGCTAATGACTTTAACCAAAGAGCCTCCCTGACAGCTTCAAATAGAGCCATATATTCGGCTTCAGTAGATGATGCCGCTACTGATAACTGTCTTTTTGTATTCCAACATATTACACATTTTTCAAATAATTTAAATAGGTAACCAGTTGTGCTTTTCCTATTTTTTACATCATCACCTCCCCAGTCAGAATCTACATAACCACTTAAGACATTGCTATAATCACATTTAACATATGTTAACCTTAAATTAATTGTACCCTTAAGATATCTAAGGACCCTTTTTAAGCATTGCCAAAGCTCTTTATTATTATTGTTTTGGTACCTGCTTAAAATATTAACAGCAGCACTTAAATCTGGCCTGGTACACAACATAATATACATCAAACAGCCGATAAGATTTCGGCAAGGGCAATCATATTTTACTTCAGAATTTAACTCATTAAAATTTAGTTTACTGGGAAGGGGAGTGCTGACAGCATTACAGTCAAACATATTAAATTTATTTATAACAGTATTTATGTATGACGATTGATCTAAAGAAATTTTATCATTTATTCTTGTAATTTTAATACCTAAAAACAGTTTAATATCTTTTAAATCAACCATACAAAATTTATTTGCCAAATAACTTTTAAAACTACTCATTGTATCACTATTTGCAGTGGCAATCACAAGATCGTCTACATAAAGAACAACATAAATATTTTTACATATGGCAACTCTGTCTAAAATATAAATACAGCGGTCAACTGATGAATTCTGAAAACCTTTGTCTATAAGAACTTTTTCAAATATTTCAAACCAGCATCTGGCAGCTTGTTTTAGCCCATACAAAGCTTTATGCAATTTACAAACTTGGTTTGGTTTACTTGTGACCCCTTCAGGGACCTTCATATAAATTTCCTCCTTTAATGTCCCATTTAGAAAGGCTGTTTTAACATCCATATGATGTACTAAAAGATTAAATTGATTTGAAAAGGCAATTATAAACCTAAAAGATGTAATTCTTGCTACTGGGGCAAATGTTTCATCATAATCTACCAAGTATTCTTGACTAAAACCACGCGCTACTAAGCGAGCTTTATATCTTAACGGTTTTCCAAATTCATCATTTTTAATCGAAAACACCCATTTGCAGTCCACTATATTTTTATTTTCTGGTCTTGATACCAATAACCACGTTTTGTTTAACAAGAGGGAATTTATTTCGTCTTGTACAGCTTGTTCCCACTGAAATGTATCTTCTCTATTTTTTTTCCTTATATGATAAAGGAATTTGACAAACAACTGATTGAGCACATATAAAATGATCATTTGTCGAATCAGTTTCTTTATAAGAAATAGGCAAAAGATTCTTGATTCTACCACTTCGTCTTAGTTGGGGTTCACACTGAATATTATTATTTGGCCTATCTGTTTTAATTACAGATTTATTACACTCATTATTATTAACCACTGATCTTGACAAACTGTCAGAGGAGTCAGTTTCTTTACCTACTGATCTTGACAAACAGTCAGAGGAGTCAGTTTCATTACCTACTGATCTTGACAAACAGTCAGAGGAGTCAGTTTCATTACCTACTGATCTTGACAAACAGTCAGAGGAGTCAGTTTTATTACCTACTGATCTTGACAAACAGTCAGAGGAGTCAGTTTCATTACCTACTGATCTTGACAAACAGTCAGAGGAGTCAGTTTCTGGCCTGGACGATAAAAAATTTGTCTCATCTACAATAACATCCCTTACTATAACAAACTTATTGTTATTCACATCCCACACTTTATACCCATTTGGTTCAAAACCAACTAGTATAGCTTTCCAGGATTTATTGTCAAATTTTGTTTTTCTAGTTTTATTATGTACATAAACAGTAGAACCAAAAACTTTTAAATATTTTACTTGCGGCTTTTTATTATGCCACATTTCATATGGTGTTTTTAATTCATTTAATGCTTTGGTAGGGGTTAAATTAATTAAAAATGTTGCAGTTAAAACTGCCTCACCCCAAAAACATTTTTCTAACTTGGCACCAAAAATCATTGAACGAGCTTTTTCAGTAATTGTCCTAACCATTCGTTCTGATACACCATTTAATTGTGGGGTTCGTGGAACTGTCAAATGATAACTTATACCTTTTTGCACACAAAAATCTTTCATTTCAGTAGCCAAATATTCCCCTCCATTGTCACAATATAAATTAACAATTTTTTTTTAAGTTAAAATGTGCCTCACTTTTAGCAACAAAATCTTTAAATACAGAAAATACATCTGACTTGTGTGTTATTAAATATGTAACACAATAGTGAGTATATTCATCAACAAAAAGAACAAAATAATTTTTATTATTAACTGTTGAAGGAGTGATAGGACCACATACGTCAGAATGAACTCTATACAAGGGTCGTTTAATATCCCTTTTATCTTTATGTTTTTGGAATGGCAGTCGTGCTTGTTTACCACTTATGCAAGCTTCACATAAATAGTCATTAGGTGTAACCTTATCGATTTCTCCTAAATCTTTTACCATAAGTTTATTTCTTAATTCTAAAAATTTAAATTTGCTTATATGCCCCAAACGTTCATGCCACAATTTATAATCTTTAGTTATATTTGTACTACTATGTGCTTGCACAATACTATTAATTACATCCCTATTAACAATAAATTCAGCAGCAATTAAAGTGGTTAAAAACTTACCCTTAATAACAGGCTTACTGTTTTGGTAAATAGTAGCACCTTTTTCATTAAAAATAATAGTCATACCAGCCTGCTGCATTTTTCTTACGGACAACAAATTGTAAGGGACCTCTGGACAATATAACACATCCTCAAGAATTCCCTGGATACCCATATTACTTGTAACCTTGATGGTGCCCTTTTTGGTTGCTGATATAAAAGTCCCACTTTTTGCCACTGAAATTTTCATTGGTGTTTTGAGCTCGACAAAACTGTTGAATATATCATCTCGGTTGACAATATGATCGGACGCTCCCGAGTCTAGGATAAAAGTAATATTATTTTCTTCCTCCATATTTTGAAAATCTCCAGTCATAAAAGCAAAACCAGATGTATTATCCTTCGATGTTGACGGCTTTTCTAATTGAATTGTTTGAATGGTTCTATTTCTTTCATTATTTTTAGATAGACTCTTTTTATAATAAAAACATTGTTTTTTTATGTGCCCATTTCTACCACAATGATGACACTTTATAGCCGAGGATAAATGATTTGTGGTGTCGGGTTTAAAGTGTCGCCCTTTTAAATGTCGTTGCTGGTAATTATTTTTGAATCTACGAGGGGCTTGAAAGTTTCGTTTCCTGGAGAATGATGCACTTGTAGAAGCAGTATCGACCTGAAGTATTTTTGCACTTGTATCACGATTTTCACTGGTGAGTTTTACCTCGTGATCTAAAAGTCTTGTTTTAACAAAAGTTAGTGTCAAATTATCCTCAGTTAATGTTTCGATAGCTGTAATCACTCCATCGTAAGTTTTAGGAAGGGTCAGCAATAAATGAGATATCTTGTCAGTCTCATCTAATTTGGCACCTGCGGCCAATAAGTCGGTAATTAGTTCATCAAAAATAGTAAAATGATTTAGTAATAGTGTATCTGCTTGTAATTTCAATCCCAATAATTTCTTTCGCAATGCCAACTGCGTAGCCAGACTTTTACGTTCATAGATACGGTCTAAACTACAGAAAATGTCTTTTGCAGTATTGTCACTTTTTGCAAAACTAAGAAAAGAATCTGTCAAATACTCCACGATAATATTTTTGGCGGTACGCTCTGCTGTTATCCATTCGTCAGTCACTTCCTCTGGGATATCTTCATCAATCACCTTTATGACAGTTCTGTTAACAAACCATGTAATCTAAACTTCCATATACTATATTTTTCCCCATTAAAAGGCTTAATGTTTCTTTTTAGTTTAAAATTTTCCATTGTCACTATCAAAGCTCTCACTTTTGTCTATCACTTCACAAACTTCACAAATAACAATAGTTTATTAACTCAAAAATTCCTTTTCGCGATAATTTAAAATTACACGTATCCTGGGCCCATAACCTTTTAGGTATATGGACAGTGAAATAAAAGATATTATAATTTAACTTTTAAATATTTAATTGTCTTCAGTCTAAGACAACTCGGAAAGCAAGCGTAGAGGAGACTAAAACTAAAAGTGATACAAAAATATTATTAGAGCACACACGCCCTATTTCATTCTTACATAAACATATGCAAGCACGTAACATTAACTGTGCTGATATTATAAACAGTAAATCTACGAGGTAAAGATAAAGAAGTTTTATTTAATAATATTTGGTTTAACTAATATATGTTTATATCAGCTTATTCAACATTAAGAACTGATGGAAGTCGCATATCTAGCAGTCGCAGCGAAAACATACCTTAACGCTCTTTGTAACATTTTTTTTCGACAAGTCGTTTTCGAATTAATAAGCAATGATAACGCGTTTCTATTACGGTTTTGTTGCTCCTATCGGAACAAAAACGAAATGGTATTGAAAAATATGCCAAATAACTAAATTCAACCATACCGAAATTACTAAGAAAACGTAGGTAATGTTTGTCATTGAAATATAACTATTTACGAAACTGCTTGTATTGAAAATATCAGAAAAAGAATGACACGGAAACGTTTGGTATAGAAACATAATAACTATAGTATACCGTAAACACGGGTGGCTTTAGCTTACTTTCAAACTTAATCTTAACATTTTTGTAGTTTTAACAATCATAAACATTAAATATTGTATACCAAAATGTAAGTCTTGAGTTGCTCTTTCATAATAACTATGTTATAATCTTACATAGGGCTGAGTTTCAAAAATAAAAATTAAAAACTGGGTGTGCAAAGTTACCCCCTGGTTGCGGGTTACTTTGTCTCACAGTGTATTTTCCGTATAAAATTAACTCAATATTTTATTTTATTTTTATTAGACATATGTTAGCAGCGATATAGCAATTGCAAGGGATTAACGATAAAAACAATAAAAGATCGACCTGTAGTTAACCAAGGATCATCATTCCAAAGAATTGCGCATAATATAGAAATTGAAACGCGTGTATTTTTAAGAGTTTTGCACTAATGCAATATATACAACTTTAAAGTGAAATAAATCCCATTTATTTTTTTAAAACACTGATTTTCCTGTAATATAAACTCAATAGAATCGCACCCGCGGGGTGCAAAGTCACCCGTGTTTACGGTATCCATTTAAGCAAGCCAAACCCCCTGTCAACCGCCTATGCCGAACGACGGCCGACTGTTTGCCGAGTGTTTGGTGCTTACTGGGAATGATATCGTTATTAATTTATTTGTTTCCCAATACCCATAGGGTTGCTTTTTGTTATTTGTTTACGATTTATTGTTAAAAAAAAACAATACGAACTTGTAAATCTCGTAACATGTTCAAGCCAAAATTATTGTCCAAACCTATTTGTTCTGTGCTTTATTGTTTATTTTTCTAAAAATATGTGTAGCTAAAACCCTTTTTACTTTATTTTAGATTACAAAAAGACCTTCGACGCAGACTACCAGTCGGACGACCCGGGCCCAGCTCCAGCCACGCAACCTTACCGACCGTCGTACGCGCTGACGCGCGAATCGGCCAACTCGATGCTGTCGCGCGCAGGTACGCGCAGGAAGCGCGGCGTCTACAACGAGTGCTGCGAGAAATCGTGTTCGAGGGACGAGCTCACCAGCTACTGCGACCCGTCGGTGCGCTACACCAGATCGAGTTTCGTCAGGCGATAGGGAAGTGTCATCGAAACGATTAAAGGAACTTAAGAAAAACCGATAAATTACTCTGATAACACTGTGCGACATTTGGTTTAAAAAGAAATGAAAAAAGGATCGCATTTAAAATTAAATAATTTGAGCCGAATTTCACTTAATGCATTTCATTTCAATTAAGGCAATGTTTGATCAATGGTCAAAAATTGTAATCTATAAAAAACATTATGTAAAAGGTTGTAAAAAAAAATCTGTCTGATTAGGGAAAAGCGAGTTATATTGGATCCCGATGACATGAATACAGAACTTGAAGAAATATCTTCTTTTATAAGAATTAGTAAAAACCTTAAAATATTTCTTTATTGATCGAACATTTTTTCTTTAATTTAAATAGAATGCATATTTTAACTAATATTATATAGACAATTGTAAAAATTCTAAGCATAATTTAAATTCGTTGCATAGTATTTAATAATAATTCAGCCATTCCACGCTACTCGGGAATTTTTGTAGCGTCCGTTACAATCAAAAATTGTGAGTAAAAGCTACCGTAATTAAATTAAATACTGTTATAATAGTTAATATTGCACACATGTTTATTATGCTTGTAATAATTGGGCTTAAACTTATAAGCATAATAATTAAGGTAGTTTTACTCACAATTTTTTATTGTAACGGACGCTTCAAAAATTCCCGAGTAGCGTGGAATGGCTGAATTATAATACGAATAAAAAACATGTGATATATGATGATGATGATGATATGATGATGTTATGTTTTATAAACCCTATGGGTTTTGGTCGGAAGCGTACGGCACTCTGCTTGATCTCTCTAGGACATTTTTAATTGTTTTTTATATTAATTTAACTTATTTCTATGCAAGAATTGGCAAGAAATGTTTGATTCGTCTAGCAAATTTTGTGATATGTCTAGGTAATTTTACTCAAATAGCATAATTTACCATTTTATTTATTGATTGATATAAAAATAAATGTTTTATTAAACTTTAACAGAAAATTAAAATGGAATTGGATTTTTTCCAATACAAATCCAAAACAAATTAAAGGTGTTGAACAAATATTTTGCTTAACCCATCCGAAAAATAAACAAATATATATAGATTTTAATATATTTTAAATTAAAACAAAACAAGTAGTTATATTTTTATATTTTGTGGGTCTAAATTATAAGTTTTATTGTATAATCCATTTTAGCAGTGAGACCAAAGGGTCAACCACATCTGGGAATCCCTAGATATTTTAGAGGGAGAATAGCATAGGAATACAATGGGAATACATGGAAATTTACATAGAAGTACATGGGCATCCCTGGACGTTTTTCCTTTGGGTGGTTGGCTCGTTGAGTGGGACAATTTTGCAAATAAAAATAAAATAGACACTTCCCTGTTGTCAATTTTATTTTAATTTAACGCAGGGCAGTGTCCATTTTATTTTTATTAGCTAAATTATTAGCTAAAGGTTTTAACTGCAGATTTTACAAAAAAGATTATATGACTAGATAAACAATATACAAGAGGATTTTTAATAAAACATCGTAAGAGAAAAATAAAATTCTTATAATTAATAAAAATAATAATTAATTAATGAATAGCAGGGCCCTTTGGACCATTAAACACTTAATATATTTCACTTAAACTAAAAAAAGTATTTAAATTTTGAAATAAAAATATTTAAGTAATCCCTTTTTTAAATTTAATATCACTTTAAGCAGCAAAATGACCACCTCTTTACTCTAAGTATTACTTAAACAAAGATTGACAGAGTTTAACACAATGTTTTTAATATAAGTATTGTTTAATGGATACAGCTCATATAGGTACTTATTCAGTTTAAGTGATGCTTTAAGTTAAGTAGTCGATTTCTGCTGCAGAACTCGTCCACTTAACTTAAGTTTAAGTATCACTTTTGCAACTAAATGTACAATGTAACAATAATGTAAAATAATTGTTATTCAAAAGATATATAATAAAACTATGTTGTAACTTACCTAACTATTTATCCGTTAGACCATTTGCACCAAAAGTATCACATTATTTTGTATTTTTTTAAATTATTTTGAATTATGAGATTATATTAGGTTCGTTTGATCAAGCAGTTCTTGTTAGTTTAAGACTATTCGCATGAGCAGTAAAAAAAAATCTGTGATCAAGCCTCACAAAAGGAACAAATAGTCCTAAGAACTCTCGGTCCTCTATTTGAGTAGATTTTTAAACAATTCTAGAACGGCTCGGAACCGTTTACATCAGTTATTGGGTGGAGAAGTATTTGCATAATTATACAAAAACATTAACACAACACGTATTATGCTCGATAATAAAGATGTTAGTTTTTTATAAATAACTCATTATCATTATCTATATCTTTATTAAAGTCATTAAAATCTCAATTTTTCATTTTAAATTTAAACAGATCACCGAGAACTAAAAAATGACATAATTTTCAAAACATAAGGTTAAGTTCCGATGAAAATGAAATTAAACTACCTACTTCGAATAATTCGAAAAAATGAGTACGTAAATTGTTTGATTAGACTTCCTTTCGAACTGGTAGTAATAGCAGTCCAAAATAAACGCATGCGTATTAAAAAAATCAGAACTGATCTTTAGTTCTAGAACCGTTCAATTTTGGCATGATCAAACGAAACTATTACTATTTTGTACAAAATTAAATTTAATTTAAGTAAAACGTAAACATAATAAGTTTAACTGTGTTAATATTTTGTGTAATGTTTATTTTCTCAGTATAATGATACCTACAAAAAAGTTAATTATTTGACACAGGGCCGGATTTAAGGGGCAATCAGGGCAACTGCCCAGGGCCTCCACAAGAGAGGGGCCCCCAAATAAATTGTATTTATTAAAAAAAAATCTTACACAACGATGGAGTACCTAACACTAATTACGGACATCCTAGGCATGCGCTTTTTAAATTTTGGGGTTAAAAATGTAAAGTGCGCATGACAAATATTAAAATCCGCATGCCTAAGATGTCCGAACTAGGATTAGCACCGCGAAAGTTTTTTTTATAATATTTGTCCGTGTAAACTAAGTATTTAGTTAAGTTAAGTGATACTTAGCGATAAGTAATTTGTTTAGTTTTAATTAAAATTTAAAATATCCAAAAGATTTTTTTAAATTGATATCAAAGCGGCAAGAGCCGTTTCCACCGATAAGCCTCACTAAATATTACAATAAAATATTTTATTTATTTTGAATTTAATCTTTTTTGTAGCAGATGGCACCAACTAATGCAAGTATCACGTAAACAAAAATGTACATACAAAGTAAATTTTAAAACTAAATTCTTGTTGAGATTAACGACACTGTATATATATATATATATATTAGACTGGTTCAAAAAAATCGAATATTTTTTTTTCTTCAAAGCCCGCATTGAAATATATTCCTAGTAGTAAAAAAAGAAGCCTGTGAAAATTGTAGCTCTTAATATTAATATTTAGAGGTCGCTCACCGTGAATTTCTATTTTACGTTTAAATAACACAGGAATTCTTTTTTCTTAACTTTGAAATTTTATAACTCGTTTTTGAGTGAACATATTGGAATAAGCGACACATATTTTTAAAGAAAATTGAACGCTCTACAAAAAATGTCTCTTATATTTTTTTTATAAATTCACTTCTTTTATAGTTATTCAAGGTTGAAATTAGACATATAATAAATTTAACGTTTTTTTTCAATTGGTGGCATAATAATAAACCTTATCACTCATTATTGTACAGGATGGTCCAGTTTGTAATACATTAATTTTAATAGGTGATAAAGCATCAAAAATAAGGTAGACTTTCATTAAAAACATTTCTTAAAAATGTTTCCTAAGAGAAATACAGGCCGTCAAAGTTTCCAAAAAAAAATAGTTTTCTCCTCATAACTTTTAAACCACAAAATTAATTTGGCACACAATGTAATATAGTCAGTGCCTTAATAATGATGTAGATAATTATTATAAAAAACATCAGTGCCGCAGTTACTTGGGGGACTGCTCCCCTTTTCACCTCAGTCCACTGGAAATTTTAAAATAATAAATAAATGTTTAGGTCAAGTTTTTAATTAAGGGAAAAAATTTGCTCTTCTAAAATATTTGCTCAAAAATGTTTCCTCGCAAAATTACATTTTTAGATTGTCTGTTCAATTTAGAGATAAAAAAACTACTGTGCTAAAATTTTAATTTAGGGCTTCGTTTTTTAAATATTCTTCAAAAAAACTGCGGCAAGTATTCTTGGATAAATAAATAAATTATTTAAAAAATGAAGCCCTAAATCAAAATTTTACATGAGTAGTTTTTTTCTCCAAATTAAACAGATAATCTAAAAATGTGTTTATTATTTAAAAAATTCCAGTGGCGCCTAAGGTGAAAAGAGGAGCAGCCCCCCAAGTAACTGCGCCACTGATGGTTTCTTTAAATAATTATCCACATCATTACTAAGACATTGACTATATTGTGTACAAAATTTGATAAAAATTGATTAAGTGGTTTGGAAGTTATGATGGGGAAACGAGTTTTTTTTGTAAACTTTGACGGAAAGCGTCTCTGCGAGGAAACATTTTTAAGCAAATATTTCAGAAACGAAGACCCAAATCAAAATTTTACAAGAGTAAATTTTTTCTCTAAATTAAAAACTTGACCTACAAATTGATTTAAATTTTTAGTGGCGTCAAAGACTGAGGTGAAAAGGGGAGAAGTACCCCCACATTATTATTAAGGCACTGACTATATTACATTTTGTGCCAAATCTGATGAAAATTAATGTTGTGGTTTAAAAGTTATAAAGAGAAAACTAGTTTTTTTGTAATCTTTGACGGCCTGTATTTTTCTTAGGAAACATTTTTGAGAAATGTTAATTAATGAAAGTCTACCTTCAAATTAATGTATCACAAACTGGACCGCCCTGTATAATCTTTTTTAAAAATTTTATATAAATTGTTTCTTAAAAAAAAATTATCGCTCATTCCAATATGTCCACTCAAAAAAAGTTATAAAATTAAAAGTTAAAAAAAATTCCTGTGTTATTTAAACGTTACATTTATTATATGTCTAATTTCAACCTTGAATAACTATTAAAGGAAGGAATTTACGAAAAAATTATAGGAGACATTTTTTGTAGAACGTTCAATTTTATTCAAAAATATATAGAGTTCATTCCAATATGTTCACTCAAAAACGAGTTATAAAATTTCAAAGTTAAGAAAAAAGAATTCCTGTGTTATTTAAACGTAAAATAGAAATTCACGATGAGCGACCTCTAAATATTTATATTAAGAGCTACAATTTTCACAGGCTTCTTTTTTCACTACTAGGAAGATATTTGAATGCGGGCTTTGAAGAAAAAAAAATATTCGATTTTTTTGAACCAGTCTAATATATATATATATATATATATATATATATATATATATAAACAATTGAATGCTATGCTGTAAGGGCCAAAAATAAGTTTTGTGGAAAATCAAAAACTGTTAAGCCCGCTGCACAATAGCCCGGTAACGGGAACGGGAAAAAACCACTGTTGATGGATAGGGTTCGCTGAGTCTCTCCCACCTTTACCGTTTATTTTCCCGTTCCCGTTACCGGGCTGTTGTGCAGCGGGCTTTAGTCTTGTGTTATTTTAAATAAAAGTGGCATGAAACAAAAGCGCAAAAATGCTTTACCTCTTGTTTGCCTTTTGACATAATATAGATATTATCTTTCCATGGTATTTACAACGTTGCTTCAATATAGCATTTATTTTATTTCATAAAATCAGTTTTATAATTCCACTTTTTTGAGAATATTTCAACTATTTTATAAAACATAATAATTCAATTTTTTTTATATTTTATATCTTCTCACAAAAATGCATTTTAAACTTTTAAATTGATTTTATAAAATGATTTGTCAAAATAAAAATTTTGGACATGTACTGTTCCTAATTTCACCGATTCAATTATAAATATTCCTGTTTTTTATATTGATTATTTAAATATAAAAATTAAAATAAAATTTGCCAATTTCCTTTGTTGTGTGAACATTTACATTTTAAAGTATAAATAAAACTAACTTGTATTATTATAACTTGCTTATTTCCTTATGATAATTTATCAAAAATCCAAGAATATTAAATTTTATATAGAAAATTACAACTTTATTTGTTTATTTTTTCAATTTTGATTAAATAAATAAATCATACATAAAATGATGATAAATGTGGTTGGATTGATTTTCTACCTGGTTACAGATGTATAGAAAGAAGCAAAGTATCGCAAGCTATAAAAGGTAAAAAATAAAACCTGTCATATGAATACAATTTGAGAACCAATTGCATTGCAGGTTAATATTGATTTCTCTATTGTGATATTAAACTATGATGTAATAAGAATATTATTAGGATACTTCTATTAAAAAAAGAATTTCAATACGCCCTTTTTAAAAATTAACACCGCACTCTCTTTATAACGCCGATTGGGAATAGTCTGCAATAATGCAGTCTATACATATTTTCGTCCTCTAACACTTTAGTTTTAGGTATAGACTTGTTATCTATAGTGGTCATTTTATGCATACTGTGTTATTTTTTATATTTTGTTTAAATTTAATAGGAAAATGACCTTGTGATAAATTTTATATAAAATTAAATTAATAAGTTAGACTATAGTCCCTAGTGTATCTATGTTAATAACTATAACATAATGTTTATAGTTAATGTCTTCAATAAATTATATTTTTTTACCAACAGGTTTTTTATTTGGGATTACAATTTTATTCATTATATTCTATTCGAATTATGTCCCTCCCCGGCCTAAACTGTAATCAAGATATTTACAAAAATTGTTGTGTAAAATTTCATCAAAATCGATTAACATTAACACGTGCCGCAGAGCACTTGGCATTTTAAGTGGAAAATATATAGAATAGAATAATAGAATTTTTTACAGCCCTCCATTCACACTTTTCTTTAAAGCAAAATTATCAATAAAAAGTTATCCAATTCGCGCTGTTTAATAAACCGTGTTTATAAGTACAATAAGAATCATTGAAAACCATTTTTTCTGAATTATTAAATAAAAGATATTTTTAAAAATATTATAAAAATAATATATGAGAAGTTTGATCATTTTTTATTCATTATTATGATTTAATAAAGAATCTAAAAATACATTTATTTCCATTTTGAAATTTGAAGACCTTTTAAAAACTTTTTTTATTTATTTATCTTGATAACTTTTTACGCCAGGGAGGGACATATTTTGGAGTTATAAGCAATAAGCCGCACTTGTCTTAGATAAGTTCTTGGGGGGTTTGATTGTAATGAAAATAATTTTTTTTATAACATTTTATTTTAACAATGTATATATAAATATATTATTACATAACTGATCGTTTTTAAATATAGATTATTTTATATTTACATACACATTATAATATAGTACTAGTACTTAATAAAAATAACGTGCTTTGTCAATTATCTCTAGAGTGATGATTGGCCTCAAAATATTTTAAATTTAATAGAAAATTCAAGTTTAAAAATAAACCATTAAACCTATAAATTCGTTAGTATGGAAAAGTATTTATATAATATAAGCACAGCCTTAACAAAGTTAGTAATTATTAAAATTGGTTTTTATTTTTATCTATGCATAGTGATTTTTTCTATAATTTAGATTAATTGCGAAATATTTATTAAGTAATGTATTTGAGGTGACATATTAACCTAATTAACCACTTACTAAAAAAAAATCACTATCTACGCCGTGCATAAAATCCGGTCCATAGGTTTACTAAACACAGTTTAAACCATTAAAATATATTTACAAAATACAATTAAAAATAAAGTCTTTAGTACCTTACATAGATAATTAAATGCATTCGGGGAAAAAATTAAAATATTTTTTGTGTTATCGCTATTTGCACCACTTTGTACTTTGGTAATTAAAAAAAAATTGTCGATCTAAACATCGTAAAAGTACGAGGCTAGAGGGTACCTAATAGTAAACGCTATTACCGAACAAACCACCTGTATGGTGATCAGGATTGTCGTGAGCTTGGCCTCGTGCAGAGGCCCCAAATAGAATAAAACCAGGTTGATCAGGGTGAAATTGTTGGTGATGATGAGGCCGTCGGTCTCTTTCCACTGAATCAACCTGAACATCCTGAAAAATCGGACGACAAACTTACCGAGGATGTTCAGTTCGCTGTACTTAAACAGGGTGGTGCTTATTTCTAATCTATCAGTCTTCGAGTTGAACTTGGGCAAGCGGTGTCGCGGACAAGGTATCAATTTGAAGAGTTGCGGTGACGAGTACAGGAAATTGAATACCTGAGGTATGAAGAAAAGGAGCGTCGTTTTGCTGAAGTGTCCCAAAATGCCGACCACTGCAAAAGTCATTCCAGAAAAGTAGCAGAATGTGTCGCCAACAAACACCTTTGAAGGATACCTGGAAGATATTAAATTAAATTATTTATATAGTTTTTTACAAATAGTTTTTATTTTAGCGCTAAACCCCCCAATTAAAACTTCTGTTACGCTAACGAGTTTTAAGTATTGTTTTCGTAAATGCTCATTTATATTTGAAACTTTTTTATTTCTTGTCAATTTTTAATACCATTGCCGTTCTTGAGTTATTGTGCCTTTATCGATAACATATTAAAAGTATATAAACGATAAAGGCACAATAACTGCTTCTTAATAATAATAATGATTTATTGCCCAACATAATACAATATTCCAATTACAGGCCTGTCAAAGCAAAGTCAACAATCTCCCGTCAGACTAAAACTGAGTAAATTGAGATAATTGATTTTGGTATTTTAAATTCTAGATTTGTAATTTTTTTATATATTATATTGAAATATTGTTGTTGTTAGTCAAGTAGCCAATGCATAGTATAAGTAAAATATATAATTATAATTAATATATGAATAAAAACAACACTGTTTTAAAGTTTCACTATTTTAAGGATTAACAATTGTTTCGCTACACAGAAGCTTCTTCAGAATTCTGAAAAAGCTACTGTGTAGCGAAACAATTGTTAATCCTTAAAAACATAAATAAAATAGTAAAACTTTAAAACAGTGTTGTTTTTATTCATATAATAATAATATGGAGTTTCATCAAGTAAAGGTCGAAACAATCAACAATATAAATATAAATTGGAGATTGCTGACTTTGATATGAATTGCTGAAGGGGTGTGAAAAATTATGATGTATAATAGAGGGGGTCTGCACGATTGGGTGTGCCAACTTGCCTGCCTGACCCTTTTAAAATGTCCAAACTTAAATATAAATTATATTAGATTAAGTTATCATTAGTTAATTCTGCACCAAAAATATATGAACCGAATTGGATCCTTTGATAAAACATGAAAATGCAACGATTTAGTTCTTGAATTACATTTACAATCATACAGTTTCTCTATGGATACAATCACAAACACATACTAACGTAACTATATAAGCGTTGAGTTTCCTAATCAATGATATAAGAAATAATAAATGGAAATCGAGTACTAAATCAAACTTTTTTTTAGTTTTTACTTGCAACGGGAAACACAAATAACGTGCGCGATTTAGCTGTGCAATTGAAACTTTCCAAACCAAATTTGTCTTCCTTTCTTTAGTAAAACACAATGCTGAAAATCCGATTTTGGTCCAGATTTAAAATTTTCGCCATCACAGAACCATTTTCAAAAAACGTCGAACCATGTTCCCAATATTTGTCATTCCAGCTCTTGCTTTTAAAAGCAGGAGCTGGAATGATAAATGGTGGGAACGTATACCTAGATCTTTCCGAAACTCATCATTTCATGTCTGCAGATTTTCTAGAATTTTTTGAGATGCTAAAACCACTCCATAAATCTTATCCACCAATGCAACGATCCCTCATACGATCCTATCCGATCTTTATTTTTGAATTGCTATACATATATATATGTATAGCAATTCAAAAATAAAGATCGGATAGGATCGTATATATACGAATAAAGAAATAGGATCGTATATATACGAATAAAGAAATTCTTTACGCAAAAATAATCAGTTCGATTACAACAGCATCACCATGAAAAAATATAACATTAAGGTTTAAAACGTTTTTAAATGTGTTGTGCGCCTACTAGCGACAGTAATTTATTACTTATAACTGAGTCAAACCACGTCAAGTGGGGCCAGAAAATTTCACGAAATCACCGATTTTGAAAATAATCACAATATTGTGTAGTAGGCATGACTCAAATATCACAGTAAAAAAATTGTTTTAAAATTCGTTTTTTTGGTAATGTTATTAAGGTTGACAATTTTGTCAAACTTAAGAGCACGGTAAAATTGAAAAAATAGAATCTCTGGAACCACTATGTATAATTGAATTAAATTTTACACACTATTGTAGAAATGTTTAGACTATATAATGATCATTTAATTAAGGTTAATTTGTTTAAATAAAATAATTTTGCAAACATTTATTATAAACAATTGAAATTTTGTATGTGTTCTTCACGCTGAAAAAAAATTAATCTTGTGTCATAATATGCAGCAAACGTTTCCGTTTAATAAGATGTACTCAAAAATTTGTCTTTCCTATGTCATTCCGGAGATATTAATTTGTTTGTCCCGCTGTGCGCTTGATCAGTACGCGGCGCGCTTCGTTTCTAGCTCGTCCGTTCTAACGTTTTAACGGTGTGCCTGAACGAAGTTTAAGTCATATAAAAATGCCGCCAAAAACTGATTGTAGTTTCTTGTTCGGGACCCTTTGGTGACTTAAAAATGATATTTACCAAAGTTCTATCTGCTACTCTTTTCAAAATTGTTCGAAAATTCATGATTTTTTTTTAAATTTTTGTTTATCTCTTTGACAGAGTACACAGTTGCACACCGATTTTTATAAAATTAGAGTAAATTATTCAGGAGAATACTTTTTAATATTGTTCACATCATTTGATATATACAGGGTTAGCCAAAAATCACTTATTTTTAATAATGCAAAAGCGTAAATTCATGATTAATTATAGCATAACACGCGAAAAATATTTATCCCCAATTTTTTTTTAGATATTTCCACGTCTATCAGGTTACGAAATTGCATTTTTATTAACATTTTACAAGAAAAATAGATTTGTAATAAAATTTAATAAAATAACGCTTAGAGAGTATTTAAAATGTTGTTTAATTTAGGCTTTTTAGTAGTTTTCAATTTTGAACGAAAAATTGGTTGAAATTTTTTGATCGGCACTCTTTGGTGATTTAAAAAAGATATTTACCAAAATTCTAACTGTTTTTTGTTTAAATTTGTAAAAAATTCATTTTTTTAAAATTATTTGTTTATCGCAAAGTCTACCTTTGCCAGAGTACACATTTGTACACCGATATTGTAAACGAGAGAAACTGTTTTTATACTACTTATATCATTAGATTTATACAGGGTTAGACAAAAATCACTTTTTTATATAGTAAAACCACAGACCAACACACAAATGGACCCGTTTATTTACATTGAAAAGAGTGGAAAGGAACAAAAATAAATATTTTCCCTTAGTTGTCACATCTGACTTTATTTGCTTTGAAGTATCTATATTTTACGTAAAAGATACTTGGAATCCACAACTTATTTAATATTTTTTATTTGATTTTATAGTGAAAAATACCAATAGTGAGTGATATAAAAATGGTGAAGCAGTGCTACGTTTGTAAAAGACTTGGATCCAAGAATTTAAAGCTTTCTTTTCATAGGTTAGTTTATTTACAAAACAAACCCTGCCAGGGGCGTAGAAACTGAATAAATAAATAAATGAATTCACTTCAATTTTAGATTTAAAGAGCCAGATTCCATCATCTGGACAAGGTTAGTATTTTGTTATACCTATATATTTATATATAATTAATATAATTTTTACATAGGATTGAAAAACACAAAAAAAAATGTACAATTTAATGTTTTTATTTATTTTTAATATTTTTATTTAAATTATGATCCCAAAAACAGAACGCCACTGGTGTGGGAACTTGTTTATAAACACCCCTCCCCTAACTCCTTTACCCCTAATCTAAATCGTTCTTGGCAACAAAACATTGTGTATTTTGAATGGGAAAGGCCAGTCCATTTTGTTTGTAGGTCTGTGAGTAAAACGCATAATGCATAAAAAAGATTTTTCAAAATGTTTCGAAAAGGGGAGCAGCTAGGATTTTGGTAAATATTATTTTTAAGTCACCAAAGAGTCCCGAACAAGAAACTGCGGAATTTTTATGCGACTTAAACTTCGTTCAGGCACACCGTGTCCTGACGAGCTAGCAGCGAAGCGCGCCGCGTACTGATCAAGCGCACAGCGGGACAAAAAATGTAATATCTCCGGAATGACATATGAAGGACAAATTTTTGAGTACATTTTATTAAACGGGAACGTTTGCCGCATATTATGACACAAGATTAATTTTTTTTCAGCGTGAAGGACACATACAAAATTTCAATTGTTTAAAATAAATGTATGCAAAATTATTTTATTTTAACAAATTAACCTTAATTAAATGATCATTATATAGTCTAAACATTTCTACAATAGTGTGTAAAATTTAATTCAATTATACATAGTGGTTCCAGAGATTCTATTTTTTCAATTTTACCGTGCTCTAAAGTTTGACAAAATTTTCAACCTTAATAACATTACCAAAAAAACGAATTTTAAAACAATTTTTTTACTGTGACATATGAGTCATGCCTACACTGAAAAAAATTATTACATTTAAATGTAAAGTTACAGGATTATTACCACATAAATTCCTTATTTTTACGACAAATTGTAAAATTACCTTTATTTTCGTCTAATTTTTATATATTTCAAGTAAATAAACATTTTTGTTTGTAAAATTACTAATGTTATGTATTAATTATTGATACAACAAGTAAATTTAACGAACTAAATGTAAAAAATACAATTATAACTTCTTACTGCATTATTTCAAATGTAAATATACTTTATTAGTCTTAATATTACAGGTTTAAATGTTTTTTTACATTCGGAGTGTAGTAAAAATCGCAAAATTACATTTCATATGTAACCGGAGAAGAAGCCTATTGGCTGGGAATCGGCATGTTAATGTTATCATGTAAAAATACATTTCATATAAAAAACATATTACATTAAAAATGTTATTTTACATAAAAAATATAAATGAGTTACACGTCAATTGAATAGGTCAATGCAGAAACTGAATATGTCCACTTTTTAGGGATATTGAGTTAAACATGGATTTACTATAAGTAAAGGGTGCCCGATCGAATGGCGTAGAAATTTCACATGTCACGGTAATCTATAGATTATACAAAGGCGTTAATATAGTAGAGAAACTGAATATGTCCAAAACATGTCCACTTTCTGTTCAGTTTTTCTTATTTATCTCAAAACTAGATAGGTAGGACATATTCAGTTTCTGCATTGACGTATTCAATTATGCTATTACATTTTGCATGTAAAATAATAATGAAATGGAATATTTCAGTTATCAACAAGGCATCAAAATAACCAATCTCCATTACCGGAAATTTACATGATTTTTTTTTTCAGTGTACTACACAATAATGTAATTATTTTCAAAATCGGTGATTTCGTGAAATTTTCTGGTCCCACTTGACGTGGTTTGACTCAACTTATAAGTTAAAAGAAGTTATATAAATGTACCTTGCGAGGACCCAAAATCGGTTACTGGCACTCAGGATTCGCTTGATTTAAATCACGATTTAACCCATCAACGATTTAAATCAACTGATTTTTTTATTTTAATCAATGATTTAAAACAGTTTTAAAAAAGTTTTTAAAATCTAAAAAAACACTTACGATCTAAAACTAAAGCACAATAATATCTTGACACTTTTTAAATAAATTCATATGCATAGAAAAACTGCTTATTTCGTTAAATAAAATAATAAAGGAATAAACCACAGACCTATAGGTCTGTGGAATAAACAAAAAATATATGACGGTTGCGGACGGTGCACAGTGTTTCAATTCTCGAAAATATCGGCAAGACCTCAAAAATTGACATTTTTTTCAGGTAAATTTTGAGTTAGATGGGTAGTTAATACCTGTCTCCATCCTGTATTGAAAAAAATATAAATAAAATACGTACATTTTGTCTTGTACATCAGTTTAAACTTGACGCTTTCAGTTAAAGGTACTTTACACGCAATCGCTGCGGAAAATTGTTTATTGTTTAAAATTGAATAACTTGTGTTTAGTGTGTCCGATTGTTATGCGGTTTGATGAAGGGTGATCTTCAAGGTATGTAAAATTCATATATGTATTTGTTTTTCGTAGATTTTGCTTGTACAACGGGGTATTGTAACGGACAAGATCGGTCTGTTAAAATCGCAAACTTTGAATTGAGCTTTTAGAACAAAGGAGCTACAAAAATTGTAATGAATTGTTAGGCATCAGTTCAAGATCCGTTAAATAGCTTAGAGTTTTGTCTATCAAGCCATCAATAAATTATCTGCCCCAACTCGCCCCCGGCTCTTTAAAACTACATGTTCTTGGGCGCTCAGGCACGGTCGTGGTAAAAAACCTCGCGATTTTAAGCCTTTGTCGCGCGCGTATCTGTGTTTTTGCTTTACAAAATATAAGATTTTTTTTATTTATGGGTTGCGTTCATGACGTTTACTCGATTCACTCGGATTTAACTCAAAACGTTTATTACAACAGCGGTGTCTAGACTTTTACTTACGTAAATCGTTCGTGACTATAGACTATATAATATATTCAACACCGATTTTACATATTTAACCCACCTCTTGTAGGTGCGTTAAAACCACTCCGCATGCGCATTGTAGTGTGTTAATGTCAAATTTGAATTGTGGTGATTTGTGTTGACAATTTAGAAATTGTTGCTAAAATATTAAGTAAAAGAAATAATAAAAATTTAAAATACTTAGTATAAAATCTGTTATATTTAAATTTTATAAATAAAATTTTGAAATTTGTCGATAAACTGCAGTGAATTAAATATTGCACCACTTTAATTTTATTTATCTTAATTTGGGGGACTAGAGGCTAAAAAACTAACTTTTTTGCAAACTTTAATTCAAATTCTGCTTGCGCAGAACTTGTCATTATGAACTCATATAAATTTGGTTTGGGTCCCATGTCTAATAACTGATATATCGCGGTGTACAAAAATTCACCAGCGGCCACTGGTGGTTAGAACATGTAAATATATTATTTTAAGATTATATTTCTGCTGGACGTTAAGATATTGTTTAGTTATATAAAATATACTCTTAAAATATATTACTATTCTATGAAAGGGTAATAAATAAAAAACTGACATAAATTCCAATAACACAAAATATATGTATAAGTTCGCATAAAACTACCATTTTGAATTTTGGAATTCTGATTCCAGCTCGTTATCAAAAACCAAAAACCCCTGTATGCACTGAAAGAAATTTGTTGCTAAAAGTAAATACAAATTTATACTAAAAATTTTATACTAGTGCTTTACACATTTATACTACTGTTTATTATGAATGTATGTTAAATTTTGTAATACATTTATTGTAAAGAAGATATGTTAGATCTAAATAAAAATAAACTTACCCTTACTATAAAATGTAAACTATAAGTGAATTACAGCAAAAAAATATTGCTAGAAACACCATTTATATTGCTAGGGCAGCAATAGGCTGCTAACCAAACGAATATATTTGTTTTAGCAATGTATGTGGTAGTCTATATATGAAACATAAAATATATTTGCCCTAATTATTTTTTTATTTAACTTTAGTATATATTTCTTTCAGTGTGGTGATTTTCAATTTATTTATTTATGTCCGCCATTTTGGATCTTCCATTTTGAATTTTGGAATTCTGATTTCAGATTCGTTAACAGCGACCCCAAAACCCCTGTATGGTGATTTTCAATTTATTCCGTCAATTTTTTGACAAATATGTCCGCCATTTTGAATCTACCATTTTGAATTCTGGAATTCTGATACCAGATTCGTTATCAACGACCCCAAACACCTCTATATACGTATTTTTAGGGGAATCCGACTACTCCTTGATATTTTGCCGAAAATTTCGAGAATTGAAACACTGTGCGCCGCACAGTGTGCGGTGGTTTATTTGTTGAGAAAGTAATCATTTCTTCTTCTTCCTTGGTGGCCAAAGGCCTTAATGGTCTCGGTTTCAATGAACCACTTTGACCAGCAACAAGTTTTATTGTCCATGCGCTTCACGAAGCCATCCACCCAGACACGTGGATTTTTCAAATCTTGGATCATCCCTACCTACATATTTATGTATAATAGTCAAGTTACCTTTATTATTTTTATTAAAAAAAAGCTTATAATTTTCAATTTCGTAATAAAAATCAAAAAATCAAAAAAAAAAATCGATTTTTTATCATGATTTTTTCGAACCTTGCTGACACTGCAGCGCAGTCATTAAAAAAGCAAACATGCAGATTTATGCAGCCAATTTTTTACACGCATAATACACAACCAAACACTATTTCAAATGTTTTAGAAAATGGTAATAGGCGATCATTTTTTTGTAGTTCCACGACCATAGATTAATAACCTTAACAAATTTATACCCCTCGAAAATAACATTACATATGTAATATAATATCATGCGTATAAAAACTTTTTTTTATGAATCAATAGGGAGTTACCCTCCACAATATTTAATACAAGTTTGCAACTATAGTTATATATATATATATATATATATATATATAAAAATAGTACGTAAATTTACGTTTACGCAACATTTAAGTGGGTAGCGGGTATAGTATATTATGTATCAAGTTTTATAAACGCCATTTTAGTTACGAGTTTTATTAAGCACGAGCGAAGCTTGCAAGCGAGTGTTTAATAAAAATGAGTGTCTAGATAAGTTTATAAAAAGAGTTGCATACTATACTTTATCTACGACGACCACAAAGAAGAATTTAAATCCAATTTTATTTGTTAAACATGTGACATTTGTCAAATGTCAACGGAATTAACCTCATTTTTCTCTAATTTATAATAAAGCTAACTTCAGCCCGTGACTAAAATGCCCAAAAGCCACTATTGCTAACTTCAGACCGTGACTAAAACGCCATAAAGTCACAGCTCGTCAATGTAGGAGTAGATAAAATAATGAAAATGCAGCTACTTCACACTGTGAAGTTCACAACTTTGCAACTTTGTAATGATGTAGTAACCTGGGTCTAGGGTAATAAAGTAGGGAATAAATATTGTTGCTGCCACTTTGGCAGCAAAGTAGGTCATGGCATTTTGTATAAAACTTGATTAAGATAAACTTTGACATTAAAAATCTATTATAGAGTTTTAGGCCAGCTTTTCGGGCACTTGGAACCACTGTAAGGCGTTAAGAAAATATGCATTTATCAATGATAAATTATCATGGACATATAATTTAAAATAGTTTAACTAAATATAATTTTGAATTAAATATATTAAGTTAAATTAGGTATATACCTACCTGAATATTCAATTCGAAATTAGATGTTTATGATAAATGCATATTTAATTTAATTTAATATAGGTAATTACAATATTAATTTTGTTTTTATTTAAAAGTTAAGTGCCGAGAATTATTGATTGAACCACCTCGGCACGACCCTGTTTTCCGCGCCCCACAACCCAGGAACGACCCTTCCATTAGTCATACCACCAGCTGAGCGTGCAGTAGCGGTAAAACAAAAAAATGGAAACAAAAATAGACCGAGCGCCGATCTAAATCTAAAATATTAACAAGTTCCAAAAATGACGATAATGCCTCTAGATGTGCCCAGATTCAACGCAAGGGCGGTGCACTGCCTTAATTGAGGTTATGTGGTATTAAGAAAAATTAAATGTATCCACGACCCAACTGCAGGAAATTATTCCTGGGTTTACTCATCGTAGCCCAGATAATACTAGTAGGAACGTTTCTCTATATCCAAATCAAAGAGGCGGAAGAGAGAAGTGAAAGTGTAACATTCTTAAAAAATGTTGATATCGTAGAACAACATTCAGTAACATATCATACAGTTAACAGCAAAATAAACCTAAGAAGCATAGGAGGTAGATATAGTTTTATAGATTTTAATTCTAGCGTTTGCTTTAAAAATGGCACTGACCTTTTGTCGATGAACAGAACTAAAAATTTACAGTGGCAATGTAACTGTCTACCTGGTTGGCATGGAATTGACTGTGGTCAACCAGAAGTCTTTTGGAGGGCCATGCTTGCAAACAGAAAGCCTGTTCAAATAAAAGGACCAAGGGTTTTTGAAAGAAGAATTATTTATGTTTTTAAAGTCGATACATTTTCGGAAAGTGTAGCTGATATAAGAGTCAATGAGCTAAGTGATATAGTAGATTTATTTATACTTTACGAAAATGAGGGGGATAATTTTTTGATGAATAAGTTAAACAATAACTTTCTGAAAGAATTCCATAGTAAAATACTTTATGTAAACAGTAATCTTTCCAAAGTATGGAAAAAGGTAAAATCAATACTGAAAAATCTTAGATCAGAAGATTTATTAGTAACAAGCAATAATAGTGAGATAATCAATAAAAATGCATTAAGCTTTGCTAAATTCTATGACAATTGGCCTCAACCCCTTCGATTTCGATTGCGGTGGTCCGTTTTTGGATTTTTTTGGATTCACCCTGGTAAAACAATAATCACTGCAGGCGCCTGCACTGTTTCATACTTGAAACAAAATCTGCAAGACAGACTTGATTTTTTAATTGACAATAGAACTTTATCCAACAGTGTTTATAAGGGAATCATATTAGGGGATTTGAATCATTTTGGGGGATGGTACTGTGAGTTCTGTACTGAAGCCACAAAAATAGTTGAAAACATTAAGAAAAACAATGAACTAATAGACTGGAACAAGGTAAAAAATATTGACAACAATTTCGTAGAAGACCTAATAGAAAATGGAATTTACGTAGACAGCAAAACCGAATTAATAAGGGGTCACCGATATTCCGACAATTATTTCGCCCCAAAATTCGTGACCGACTACGGCTGGAAGTACGATTATTTAGTAATAAACTTTTATTCAAAACTTGACTATTATGAGGGTTAAAAATGTATACTGAAAAATTCGTGCTGAAATTTACTTTCGCAACATTTAATCTGATGTATTTTTAATAATTGAACTCTTTCCCTTGCACTTTTTGTATATTTGTAAATCAGCACAAGGTCCTAAAAATGTCTGTGATAATTAGAGTTTACAAGTTTTGTTATCAATTAATTTTAGCAATTTAAACAAATAAAATTATTAATGCAATAACATGGTATTTTTAATTTTAATGCCTATTATTTTAAATATTTGCTTTATTAAAATAATTTAAATTGGTAACTTTTTTTTATTGTTTAGTCAATTATTTTAGGCGTGTTCCACTAAAATAAGTACCTTATATTTAGCTACATTAAAACAAACTAAACGATAAACAAAAAAATTTTATTATATTTTTTTTAAACAAAATGTTCCTACTTCTACCTGTTGGCTTCCATGGGGCCTCAATTATTTTTTGAGTTATAACAATTGTTGCCATTAAAATTGTGTTTTTTCTATGCTAGGTTACAGTGTTACAAGGCGATTTATGTATTAAAAAATGAGTAGTTTTTAAGTTATTAACTACATACAAATTTAAAAAAAACATACAAAAATAGATAAGGAAACAATCCAAATTTAAGGTTAAGAGGTATTTTTTGACGAACTTTAAATCATCATAACTTTTTATTTTTAACAAATTCTAACTTTTTTTAATCCGGTATAAAGGTATAAAATTACTTGCATTCTACCACGCGATAGGAAAATTATTTTATGTAAGTAAAAAAATTACGCAATTAAAAAAACCTCTATAAAGCTGGAACTCCCTTTTGGGCATAATTTTTTTGTACCCATGCAATAAATATGAGCTAATTATGAACGATAAAAACCAATTTTGTGCTTTTTTCGAGGCTTTTTTTAATTTGCAGGGTTATGCTGGCTTAAGATAAAATTTAGAATACTACTTTTATAAATAAAATTTAGAATACTACTTTTATAAATAAGCAAGGTCCTTTATTAAAAGTAAATATACGAATATATCGTAAATATATTTTCAAAATCTTAAAACTATGAATTAAGAATTATTTGAATTTTCTTTTTTTTTTAATATGAGGTGTTATGCTGGCTTCAGTTAAAATAATTATGTATTAATACAAAGTATACTTTATTAAAAGTAAATATATTTTCAAAATCTTTGAATTATGAGCAGATTTTTATTTATGTAGGACATGTCCTAGAAGAAAAATAATTTTTAAAATCTTTGAATTATGAGCTAAATTTGGACATAAAAATAGCTTTTATCTTTAAGCGTTATTATTGTCAACGCTCACTGCCAAAGTAATGGATTATCGCTTCTCTCTCTATATATGTATTTTTTTTATCCACTACGTCCGGAGTATCATAAGCCTCTCCCTCAGTAATGGATGTGGTCTGAGCCGTTGTGGAATTTCAAATCTTGAAACATCCACTGAATCGATTGCACAAATCACAAAATACCTCGCTGAAAGGTCAAAGCTTGGGATATTGTCGAGAAATACGGGTATATTTGAAATATAAATGGATAAAATGGGGTTCCCGGTATAGAAATATAATATTTCTATACCGGGAAACCCATTTTATCCCTACTGGGTAAAATTCAACTATTTTTAGACTTTTTCATGGATTATCTCTTGGCTGTAAAAATAATCGATAACTGATGACAGCTCTAAGCAATCTAACCTTACTTTTAATAATTGTTATCTATTGGGAATCTCCATATTCGGAAAATGTTCAGGAGACAAGAAAAACCGTTAAAAATTATTGATATATTTAGTTATAGCTAACGTGGATCTACACGGTTTGTGGACCGAACGATGCGGAATACTGAAGGGTGTATCTTCATATACCTTACTCAATTTAGCAGAAAATATGGAGATATCCGGTTCTTGCACCGAGCCCCTCAATTGTAAGTTTAATGCAAGATACATACACCTTAATGTATCTTTAAACAAATAATGGTTTAATGTATCTTTAAACCAATAAAACAGTGCCTTGAAGATAAAATGTTGTATGCCTCAATCTTTGAGCTCGGCACAAAAATACTTACTTTTTAGCCTAATGACATAAATAACTATTAGTTGTCAGGTACCTACTTTTAATTAAAAAAAAATCGTTTTTTAAATATATTTAAGCAACAGCGCATGGGAGACTAATATATTATATATATAGGTTTTATAAAAAATGTAGCTCTAAATCACGAGTATATTAAGAGTCTGTTGGCCTCTTTGGGACAAACGGTTAATAAGTTATTAAAGAAAAACGTTAGTTGTTGGCGGGACGTAGCGTCGCGGGGGTTGTTGGGATCAATCCGAAAACCAGAATACGTATTATTCAATTTTTGCTTTTTTGATCAAAAAAATTAAATTTCAACCGGTATAAAAGTATTGGGTTCCATAAAATCTTACCATTTTTCTGGCCTACTTACTGGTAATTTTTATAATTAATTTTTAATTTTTTTAAATGTCAAAAATCATAGTCTCATTTGGAAAATTTTAACTCTAATGCAAACTATTTCAAATCCTACTAAAAAATCGTACTGTCCCACAGGGGCCTTTTTGAAAACTTTTTTAAGAGTAGGTATGCATTGTAAATTACCCAACCAGCAGCATTGGATGACACGATATTTGACATAACATATTATGCCTTGCAGGTGGGAGTTACTACTCCTTTATTTAGTCTTTTAACTCTAAGGTTAAAACTTCTTGTTATAACCAATTTTCAGAATAATGAAGGTTTTTTATATAAACATAAAAAAAACTTACCAATTATGTTTGAGAAGAGCCACTGTAGTTCCAATGTATGGCAGCATAAAATATAAGCTAAACTGATGAGCTTTCCACAAGGAACCAGATAACTCAATCACATTAAAAATCATAATTGACACAGCAATAACTACACTTTGTCCCACTTCCAATCCATTCACGCCAGCCAAAATATTAATTGCATTCGTGCAAAAAACAGCCAGCATACCCATGTAAATGTAGTAGATAATTCCTATATCCACAGAAAATCCTAAAGTTTCTCTAAACGGCTTGGGAACTATAATTGTTGTGGAGTTGAAGTTTACATAGTATACCATAAGCAATGGTAAAGAGGCTATAGTTGGGAGCAATAGCTTGTGGCGCCATCTTAAGTCCAAGACATCATCCGCGAAGCCTAGTAGAAGCATACAGCATATTGAGAGGAGGGCTGCCATTAACTCCACAAACTAAAATATGAAAGTTTATAATTGTATTTAATATAATAATTATTATGGTCCTGATAAAATTTATCGTCGGAACTAAATTTTTTGTTGTGGTAATTACCAACAATTTTGGCAATACACCCGCACAACAATCCTGAGACATATGTTATTTTTCTAAGCTCTTAACGCATTCAGATGATAAAAGATGGCGCAGAGTGTGATATCGAAAAGTAAAAGCTTAATTGCGCCTGCGTAGAATATGTGCTCACAGGCACAATTCAACTAGCGTCTAGAGGCACCGAATTATCTTGGCTCCCTGGCTCCTAGACATGCGCGTTTTATAGAAATGTACTCAAACTCAACAACACAACCCAACCGACCCCGCCCCATTGGGCTCCCCCCGCCCCATTGAGCAAAAAACCCAACTAAAATGGCCAAATTTATGTAATTAAAAAGTGTTTTATTTTTATCGTAACATAAATTTGCCCATTTTAGTTGGGTTTTTTGCTCAATGGGGCGGGGGGGGGGGCCAATGGGGCGGCGTCGGTTGGGTTGTGTTGTTGAGTTTGAGTACATTTCTATAAAACGCGCATGTCTAGGAGCCAGGGAGCCAAGATAATTCGGTGCCTCTAGACGCTAGTCACAATTCACACAATAAGGTCTGTTCTATCATAGAACATCTTGTATTAAAAATCAAGGCGGCCATTTTTGTTGTTTACAATTCTTGTGCTTTGGGTTTGTGCTCTGTTTAAACTTTCAACAGATTAATAATCGTTTTAAACGTTGTGTTTCTTACAGAGGCATTTGTAAGCCTTAAAAGAGGCCTTAAAGTGCTAAGAACAACCATTTTACTCCTATTGTGTTATGGTAAATTCTCCTTAAAATTGAAATTTGACAGTTTAATGACAGCCCTGATAGAATAAGGTTTATTTTTTTACAAAAAAGGAATTAAATGGTTGTTCTTAGCAATTTAAGGCCTCATTTCAGGCTTACAAGTGCCTCTGTGAGAAACAATGTTTAAAAAGATTATTAATCTGTATAAAAAGATTATTAATCTGTATAAACTGCAGCTCATGAGCACAAACCCAAAGCACAAGAATTGTAAACAACAAAAATGGCTGCTGTTAAACTCTGTGCAGTGTTGCAGTGATTTTTAGTATGAGATAGAACATACCTTGTTTTGAGGATTGTGCTCACAGGCAAATAATTTTTTATTAATTTTGATTTTAGGTCCGATGGTTATAAATTGAATACACAACGCCACAAAGGACCAAATAGTTTTTACATATAAAATTAAGTACATGCATGGTAAACTGCCAGGGGCGACTATAGTTTGGACAATACTGTAAGCTCCTGAAACTATTTAAATTAGTATCAAAATAACTTACATAAGGCTCTTTAAAAATAATTATACCCTATGAATTTACTCGTATCGCCAGCAAATTACCGTTAGCAATTTACCGCCAGGTATTTACCGCCAACAGTTTACCGCCTCAACTGTTTATCGCCGCAACAATTTACCGCCAGCTATTTAACGTAGAAACAATTTATCGACAGAAATTCACCGTTAGCAATTTGAAGCCAGGTATTTACCGCCTCAACAGTTTAACGCAGCAACAGTTTACCGCCAGCTATTTATGGAGCGGGGGGGGCCCGATGGGGCGGGGTCGGTTGGGTTGTGTTGTTGAGTTTGGGTTGGTTTGGGTTTTTTCTCTCATTTTTGACCATTTGACCAATGTGGCGGGGGGGCCAATGGGGCGGGGTCGGTAGAGTTGTGTTGTTAAGTTTTGCCTATGATTCATTTTAAAAACGTTAAAATGCACAAAACAAATCCGGTTAGCTGGCGGTAAACTGTTGCTTCGTTAAACTGTTGAGGCGGTAAATACCTGGCGGCAAATTGCTAACGGTGAATTTCTGTCAATAAATTGTTTCTACGATAAATAGCTGGCGGCAAACTGTTGCGGCGATAAATTGGTGCGGCTATAAGTTGCTGGCGGTAAATTGCTGGCGGTAAATTGCTGTCGGTAAATTGTTGACGATAAATTTTCCTAGACCCGAATTTACTATGTACTTACATTGTTTATTACCATTTATTTAAATTACAATAAAGTTTTAATATTGTATTCATTAATTATATTAATAATTATAATATAAGTAAATATAAAATTTATCAGTTTTAATTAATGCAAAAAGGCTAAACTCGTTTTAGCTTTTTACTTTTACTTTACTTTACTTTACTTTTGACCAAGAACACTTTATACACATACACTTTATCTAATCTATGCTATACACATTGTCAGCATGAAATTAATTACACCTTAAGACAGTTTATTTTCTTAAATTAACAAAGGTAGATAGAAGACTTAAACCAGATATAACAATCTTAAAATGATATATACTACTATAATAGATATTTTTCTTCTAATGTCAACAAGTTAAATATGCATCATTTTTGATGTGCTCAAAAAATGAAGCATAGGCGTTTGTAAAGTAAATAAACAAATCATTATTGGTGTTTTTGAAAGATTGTGTATCAAACTACTCTTTTATCTAGGCACTACTCTAAACAATCAAAAACTCTTAACTGTCTTAAAATTTCAAGTTGAGCTAAATTATTTAGCCTTGTGTCAAGATAATCTTAAAGGGGCCCTAACCCGTTTAATAATATTGATAATATTTGATGATATTGAGAATAAATTGTCAATAATATTGATCATTTGAGGCAAAATATTGACTATATTATTGTGAAGGCTCCTTATACTTAAAATTTAATAGAATATCAACATAAACATGTCTATGGTTAAAACACAATTTAATCTTGGTGGCAAAAAATAACTAACAAAGTCCAGATGATAAATATGGATTTCACAAATCTAAAATACCTCATCGTGAGGAAAATCCCCATTAAAAAGGCTATTTCCAAAAGGAATCGGTATAAACAAGAACATGGTTATCAAAAAAGTGCATCCTGTAACAACCCCCAAGGATTCTGGCCTGTAAAAAACATTTTAATAAATAAATATTAATAAAATGCAAATTGCATAACCTACACTTTTTCACTAGTGGTTTTGCTCATATCAATTCCAAACAAATTCGCCTTTATAAACATGTCTTTAACTTTGGGAATTAACCGTACAGTTACCATGTAACAAATAATTGACATTATTAAGTTTATTACTATTGGAAACAACATTGTCCACGTATTGGTATTTATTCTTGTATCAACATCTGCCGCCATTATTTGAAACTGTCACTCTTATGTTCTGTGCTGTCACTGATAAACGTCAAAATCATTTGTTCGTGAAACACGTTGCCAAAGCTCGTAATTTTTTTAAATAACCTTTGAGTTTGTAAATCTTATATAATTATATAATTGCCATGTTTATTTTGTGCAGCCCAGTCGCTTTATTTATATATTAGATTTTTTAATTAAGTTTGAATTATTTGCGGGGAAATAACGTGATAAAAAGCAAATTTCTTTGTTAAGATGTCAAGTGGATTGGCAACCCTGTATGTATTGTTTCCGAGCAGTGTTGCTTTTTATTAGGTTCTGGAAAGAATCTCTGTTGTTTACACAGATTATAAAGGTTGTTTATTTCAGTAATGTAAACAGGTTGTATATAAATTGCCCTTATTTGCCGCAAAAAACACAGGTAAGCTAATAATTTTAATATACAGTCACTGTATTACAGTGTATAAGGTATATAAGAACTGTTACTTACTATATAGGTGGTTATATGTAGGATTGCCAGGCCCTAAAATACAAAAGCCGGACTCTATATTAGGCCGGGCATATCTTTTTTAATAGCCTAGGTACCATTTTTAAATCCGGACATACGTTTTTAAAGTTTTTATAATTATTATAATAAAATAACTTAACCAATTGGTTGCATTACATGTACATTTTTGTCTGGATACGATTGTTAAAGGCGAAACATGTCCAGCTAAAGCCAGTTATGTGTCATGAGAGAAGCTCAATTTTTTTTACAATTTTGCCCCCTTCTAAGATTTAAATAAAATGTACACTGACATTTTTGTTTTTCATCAAAAAAAGTTAATCTTTGATGTTTTTTTAAATTCAACTGGTTGATATAAATACAATAATATTAAGGGTATGTAATGGTGGAATTATGCAGCACAAATTAACATTAACATTAATTTAACATAAATGCTTCCATTGTATTACACTCATCTTAATCTTAATGTTAACTTAATGTTAATTTGAGCTGCATAATTTCACCATATATTCAGACAGATAGGAGCAGGAACATGGACAGTATTATCTTTTCCCTGTCCCTGCAATCCCTGGCTTAGATGGAGTTTTATTTGCCCTATCCCTTCAGGGACATGGAAAAGTAAATTTGGTCCCTAGCAGAGATTGCAGGGACAGAAAAAAGAAAATCCTGTGCCTGTCCCTATACTAAAATAAAAAATCATGTTTTGTTAAACAAAGAATGGTCAACAAATTATTGTTCTTAAATTCAGGGTTGTACAATTATTTTTTATCAAAACAATTTTATCAACTTTTACATACACCCCTTTTGACCCTTATATCAACAAATTCTATATTATTAAATTCAGAAGAAAAAAAGACAATAAAATTAAGGTAAAAAAAAATAGAAAATTGGTGCCTATATGATTGAAACTAAATGTTTAATAATGTTAAAGATGGAAGGAAGAGTACCAAATCCAAAACTGATGAAAACCAAAAAACCTACTTCAACAACTATAAATTTCCTAAGAAATGCTATCAAATTTTACAAACAGGAGGAGTTAACAAAGGCGTTTGAGAGTTTTGTAAATTATTTTGAAGACCTTGATGATCCAGCAAAGTCTCCAAACTATGCTCAAAATACGTTTACAAGAACCATATGTGAAATGGGGGCTGTGTTAGAAGAGACTGATAATATAGAGGAGCTTTTAAAGTGCTATTTACAGGCCATTAATTTGTTTCCAAAAAACCATGTTATTTTAAACAATCTTGGAGGATATATGTTCAAGTAAGTACAAAGAAAAAAAACATTACCAGATAATTATTTAAAATGATATCCTATGAAGGACTAATAGGTCAGCGCATGACTAATCAGAATATCAAAACATGACCTAATAGTAAAAAATCATAAGTTTTTAAGATATTAGCATTTTTATGAATTTTGTGAAACTTGACACATAAAATCAGTTTTTTGAGTGCCACAACTAGAACATTCTATATTCTTAGATTATATATTTTTTTGCATAAGCCTGAATAAGACTGAGCAGTATTAATTACAATTCAAAATTAAATTAATAAATAAATAAATAAATAAAATACTTTATTTTCATCCCAAGAAACATACTGTTTATAGAGGGACACCTCTAATCATACAATTTAATAAATATTTTTTAATTCTTAATACATTTCTTAAATCTAAATTAATTTTACTTTATTAATACATTTTAATTCTAAATAGGAACATATCATTTAAATATAATATCACAGAAAAAAGAAAAAATATCACGATATATAATAGTAGATTTTGTAGCTGTGGCACTCGAAAAACTGATCTAAGGTGTCAAGTTTTCTAAATTCATAAAAATGACTATATCTCAAAAACGATTTTTTACTAAGGTCATATTTTGATTTTCTGCTTAGTCATGAGTTGGTCTATTAGTCCTCCAAAGGATATCGTTGACTTTTGGGACACCCTGTATACATTCCAATAAGCTCATCTAATAGCTTGCCTAGTAGGCTGGGCCGAAAAGGATACATTTTTTTTTTTTTTTGGGAATCTAACTTGGTATAGTTAAAAAAAAGTTGTGAGAAGGGTACACAAATAAGCTGTTTTTTTTTTCAAATTTTTAAAAACAGTTTTAGCCGCTCTTAAAATTCAATAAATAAATGTTTTTAAAGTTACATTTTGGATTTGGCATATTAAAACATAAAAAAAAATATTCATATATTTTAATTTTACACTGAGAAAATCTGCAGCAAAAACCTCTTTACTGATGTATTTTTAGCTATCACTACTAAAATATTTCCCAAAGTTAAAAATTGAATTTCTTGTAGCAGTAAAATAGAGTTTACTGGTGTCTCTTTATTGATCTTAAAAAGCTCTTTGCCGTCGATAATAAATATTTCATTTAATATTTCACAATAACAAAATACATATTAGTAACAGGAAAAACGTTTTTCAAAAGAATTTTTATTTGTTTTTAATAAAAACTTTGCTGCCCCAATAAATACAATTTCTTAAAATCCGTATTTCGGGTGTTTCCGCCCTATTCGGGTATTATCGCACGCTTCGGCGTTCAAACGCGTTGTCCGAGCCTGCCGGCACGTTCACTTGCTGATTGTTTGTGGACGGTACGTTGAGCTTGCAATTTTAAATGAATAATAATTTAATTATTATTATTCAAATTAAAAAAGTGGCCAAGAAAATATTTTGTTTACCGTGTGTTGTGGGTGATCCGTCCTGTGACTGGCTTTTTTCTCTGGACTATAATGGAGTACAAGAAAATTCTAGAAGAGTGGGGCTTCTTCATTTTATGGAAAATTTTGAAAGTAAGTTGACTAACTTATTTTTTATGAAAATTATTTTGTTTTAAATAGAATTGACAATATTAGTGTAATTTTTGAAGTACTTATTATTAGAGTAAGTAAAGGATTTATTATTATTAGAGTAAAGGAATTCCTACCACCCCTAAATTCCAATTAATGAACTCGCCCGCCTTTCTCTTTTAAGTATCTATCGCCCGCCTTTGCCTTTACGTATCCATCACTTATACCTGTATTTCTCCAATTTAAATTGGAGAAGGTAAGGTAAGTTATAGATACGTAAAGGAAAGTGATAGATACGCAAAGGCGGGCGATAGACAGGTAAAAGGCAAAGGCGGGCGACAGACACGTAAAAGGCAAAGGCGGGCTAGTTCATTAATTGTAATTAAGGGGTGGTCGTTAATTGCAATTAATGGACTTGAAAACGATAACTTTGTTTTATCTCAGAACTGAATGTCTGCAAATTTCTGAGATAAAAGTTATTGTTTTCAAATTTATTTTAATTTATTTTTACTGATCAAAGGCATTTCTGGAAGAACAACTTGTATAGTGATAATTTATCGGGGGTTAATGCAAGAGGTCAATTTTTTACCGTATAATTTTTTTTTACGAAAATCTTTTTGCCATAAAAATTAGTCGAGAATTAAGGTCATTTTTCCAATGTCCCTTAATTCGAGATTTTAATGAAAAAAAGGTTTAAGATAATTAAAAAAAAATTATTAGGTTAAAAATTTACTTCGAGTGTATTATGGGAAGATAAATACATGAATTTAAATATTTTTATATATACCTATTTATACACCGTAATACGGTGACCGTATTCGGTATACCTTCATTTGCAAGATATACATAAGGAAAATACATTGTAGGTAGACCAAACAAGTCGAAGTCAGCACGAAGCGAAAACGTTCCCAAAAATTATTTTGACGCGTCGACGAGCTGGCTGACATGCGCCGTAACAGGTGACCATGTCTACTCGCATCTGGAGTGCCATTTAAATGATTAATAAATAATTATTTTCATAGGACTACTTTTTTAATTTTGTATGTTAGGTATCTTTTTAGTAGAAGTAGTAATAAGAGTTAATACATTATGTATTATACATATAAATAAAAAAATGTTTGTTTAATAACTTTGTTTATTTCTTTGATAGGTATTTATTAATAATTAATAATTATTACCCTACACTTTAGGCTTTTTTCTTTTTTTATTGGTGCAAATGTTATTTTTTTATTTTAAACCGTGGTGTTGATATAAAGCGTCTATACAGGTTACCACAAATTCAATGTACTGTACTGGAAATACCTACAATGTTGGGTTAATTTAAGACAAAGTTAGGCTTTTTGATGATAAATAAAATGCAGTTATGCCATTCAACATTTTAATCTTAAGTACGATATCACTATTACATGAAGAAGAAAATGACTGGAAGGTATATACCACAGACCTAGGTCTGTGGTATATACCATTAGGTCGTAGACATACATTTTTATTTTTTAAAATCAATCCGCAATTTTTTTTATTTTAAAACGCCAGCTTAAATATAACTTTTTCACACGTTTTATCTTAGCACAGTAAATTTCTGGTACCCTGTAGCTATAGCTGCACTTGAAATCTATAGGGTGTCACCAAATAAGATATCATCATCTGGGGGATGATGTTCACGCCAAGTTTTTCCTCTATCACTTTTGCATTAGTGGTACTATTTTTGAACAAAAAAAATCATAATATTCTTGAATGCCAAACAGTAGTAGCATTAATTCAAAAATGAGGAAAAACTACTTTGGCGTGAACTATTATCCCCTCAAGGAATGACATCTTATTTGGTGACACCTTGTATACCAACGTACAAAATAAACAAAATAAAATTTGCTACCATTACAAAAAAACACTTAGGGACAAGAAATAACCTTCTTGTGCTATATAATTTGTTTTATTGCGGAAGGAGATACTTTTTTTGTTATTATAAAAGATTGTTTTCTGCAGTAAATAAATGTTAAGGTACAAGAAAGATCCTTTCTGCCCCTAAAATTTTGTTTATTGCTGCAAAAAAGAAGCTTCTCACTATAAAAAAAAATATTTTATCCATGGTAGAAATAATGTTTTTAGCAGCACATGTCTCTACAGAGACAGCTAGGTATTTTTGTTGTCATTAAAAAACATTTCTGGCATAGCAGAAATTTGTTGTTGCCTTAGTAAAAGATTTTATAGTTATTTATTGGTTACTTTATAACCACACAAAGTTACTTTTTAGGCATAGAAAAATTACTTTGTAGCACAACAGAATTATTCTTTGCAAAGTAGTTTGATTGCCACAGGAAAGTCTGTTCAGCAAAGTGCGTTATCCTGATATAGTAAAGTGTTTGGCTGTCCCCTATTTAAGCAAATGATTTAGCTATGGTTGCTGAAATTTTAGCAAGGAACATAAAGAGATTTTCTCAGTGTAAGCTGGTTATTATTTTTTTAATTCAAAGAGCTACATATTAGAACTCGGCCATTCCAAGCCCATGGACAGGACACATCAGAAACATGTCTAAATATATTCTTGTTACTTCCTTAAGTTTACTTATTTTTTCTACGAGTATTTATGAGCCAAATTTGGCTAATTGGAAGGTTTTACATCCAAAGATTAATAAATAAATACATATTATGCAAAAAACAATTAGTTACAATAAATAGAAATGTTTTATAGTATTTTTCTCCAATTCTAAAAAAATGGACTTAGGATAGTCTTGCACCAAAACAGCGATAGGTATTATAAATATTTCCCAACATCAAAACAAAATATGTTGGGAAATATTTATAATATTTGTTTAATAAATATATGTCAAAAAAATTTTCAAAGTTGGTTGTATTAAAATATAAAATTTAGCAAATTAAAGGAGTTTTTTGAAAATATTATTATATAAATGTATTAAATAATAAATAATATTTTTGGAAGACAATAATTAGAGTATTTTATACCGACTCACCCTGTATAATATAATCTTCTTACTTTGAATTATTATAACTGTTGTTATTTAACAAATTTAACATATTATTAACGTTCTAAAAAAATTATACTAATTAATTGGTAAAAAAATAATAATAGAATTTATAAACTAAAAACTTCTCATCGGAAAGTTTTTTTTTATTATTTTTTATCTTCAAAATAGCGTGGCATACCGTTTGTTTTAAGACATTAAAATAATGAACATAAAATTATTATTATTATTGAATTGTATGTTTATATTATTTAAATATCTGAAGTAAATGGATCATGATTAAATTTTTGTTTGCATATATTTTTGAAAAACATTCAGCTCATGCTACTCAGAAAGAAACCACTAACGACTTATTTTATTTAAGGGTTGGAGAGCTTGACATAGCCCGTAGATACTTAGAATCGGCAGTAAAATGCAAGCCTGACTATTTGCCAGCCGAACGGAATCTTTTGCATGTAAAGTGGCATCAGATGCCTCGTTGGCATTTTCGTATGTTAAACGATAGAAGTCGCAATGAGGCCTATGCCAAAGCCATCACCAAGGTTATTGATGAGGGGTACACCAATGTAGTTGACATAGGTAAGATAAGCCTATATTTTTATTGCTTAGCCAAAACACTATTTGTTTTCTGTCAAGATACCGTTAAACTGGGTTCTATATTTAGTGAACTAAACTTTTGCTTCTATAAAGGCATATGTTTTTTTTGCTTCTGTAAGACATTAAGGGCCATATGCAAAAACGTTGATTTATTTATATCAACTGATTTAGCATGTCAGTGGATATAGGTTTTTGCACGACATGACAACGCAGTATTTTTCTTTAAAAACTGTTTTATAAAATAAATTGGTTAGTTATATTTCAACGTTTATAATAATAATAATAATAAATGAACTTTATTGCAAAAAAAAGTAAATACAATTTCTTACAAATGGCCATTGACCGAGGTCCTTCAGCCGGTGAACATATCCTGAATATATGTAACAAAAAAAAAAAAAAAAAAAACAGTATATAATCGTGAAATTGAAATTAATTAATTAGTGTTATCTCGTGTTTGTTTAAGATGTTCCCATATGGTCTTCTCTGGGTGCTTGAACTTCCTGTTGCCCTGTACCTCCAAACACAACTCGCTCAGAATGTTGTAGTTAGCGTCCTTGCTAATAAAGTTTGTAGATAATTTGCTAAATCTTTCCATAATTGGTAAGATATTGTAGGTAGCATACAAAAGGTCGTTGGGAGGGTTGTGTAGAGAATTGGTTGGATGTCTCATTTTGGAGATTTTTCGGAGTGATGAGGTTTCCCCGGTTTTAATTTTGCTTAAGGCTGGTTTCCGGGCATTATTAAGTAAGATGCATCCATATTCCAGGATTGGTCTGCATATTAAGGTGTATATTCTTTTTTTTGTTTCATCATTGATGCCTTTTTTGTTGTATGTAAGTCCTCTAAAGTGGCTGGCCCTTGTTAGTGTTTTCTTCTTTGACAGGGAAGAGTGAAGATTAAAGTTTACTTTATTATCCAGTGTGATTCCCAAGTATTTTACGTTAGATTTTGGCTCTATTATGTCATTGTACATCTTAATTGTTATATTAGGGTTAATCTTGTTTTGGTGGAAGTGTATTAGTTGAGACTTTAGTGGATTTGGTTTTAGTCTCCATTTGTTAAACCATGCCAAGATTTGATTTGACAGAACTTGGAGTTGGTCAGAGGCAGTTTTTTGATTTTTACTATGGCAAATTATAGCGGTGTCATCTGCGTATTGAAGTACATATTTATCTTGGTCAAAGAGCATGGGATCTTCATTGTAAGGTAAACGTCCCAATTATCGACACTGTCCCAATCATCGACATTTATGCACTAAACATTCAAAAATAAGAATTTGATGCTTTGGACATCTATTATCATATTAAAATAAGAAACAAGTAGGTTTTCCCTACCTTTCCTAAAAAGTTTCGGTCGGTTATGCAGAAAATATTAATTGAAAAAATATTTTAATCCCGCCATTCCGCAGTCATCTGTGAAATTGTGCAAATCCTTAAGAAAAGTGTTAAGAAACAGGTAAGTTAATTATGGCAATTTTAGTTTAAAATATTTAAGTTTCTTTATGTAGATAGTTGTATATTTATATACAGAATCTATAATGTATGGTTTTTGCCAATAATTTGGCATAGAATCAGTATAAACGTAAATTTATGTGGTGTCGATAAAAGGTACATCCATTTTTAGGCTTTGTACGATTTATCGACATAGGTGTCGATAAATGGTACTATGTAGCTTTCTCTTTTCTTATGAATATTTAAATGTCTATCAAACTTATTCTTACTCTGTCTGAAGAGTTTAAAGGAAATTATATTAAACTACCGCTGTACCAATTATCGACACCCATTTTTTCCATTGGTAACATCGTTAGAGTGGATCAAAGTCTGTGGAGTGGATGTAATTTATATGTCGATATTTGGTACCAAAAATGTCGATAACTGGTTCAACCTATTTTTTTTCAGAAAGAATGTTTTAAAATGAACATTATTGAAAATAGTGAAAAATGGGAAAAAAACATTTACAAACATGACTTAAGAAAAGTTATTTGTAAACGATTATGTTATAGTGAATTATAACGATCAATCACTATATACCAGGTAAAATTATTGACATATCATTGTAAAGAAAATTATGAGTTTGATTACCAAGTCTTACATATGGAGAAAAATGGGCTCAATTGGATATGGGATATGGCCCATATGGGACATATGGGACAAAGGGATAATATTCTTTGGTATGATAGAGAAGAGGTCCTTAAAAAATTAAGGAACAAAAAAAAACGCGGACTTTACTGCGTACTGGAGATTTGTGATTAAAATATATCGTCAAACATTTTTGTTTGCAATAAATACTGCTTATATTTTATAATAAATAAACTTTTATGATAAACTCTTTGTTACTTATTATAACCATTTAAATCGACTTTTCCGAGTGTCGATATTACGTACGCAAGGGTGTCGATATTTGGTTCAAGACAAATTTTCCCATGTCGATAACTGGGTCAAATGGTACTTTTCAACAAATTTATTTTTTGCATATAAATTACGCATTGCTATTTAAAAAATAAACATTGCAAAGCAATAATCAATATTATAACAATCCACAGTAAAATTGTTAAACGTGTAACTTTAATATGCAAATTTTTATAACGATATGATTTAGAAAAATCTCTTAAGGTGTCGATAATTGGGACGTTTACGTTAGATGTCGGCACAATAAAGGTTATAGAGCAGAGGGGAGAGAGGGGAACCCTGGGGCAGTCCTTGTTTGGCTATGAAGTTTCTTGAGGTTTTATTGTTTATTGATACCTGCAGACTCCGGTTATCTAAAAATTTCATAAGTATTTTTAGGATGTTGTTTGGGCAATTTAGCTGGTGCAGTTTGTATAATAACCCTTTATGCCAGACGCTATCAAATGCCTTGCTGATGTCTAGGAACGTTTATATTTTCCCTAAAAAAGTCGATTTCTATACAATGACACTGTAAATTAGACATAAAACAATTAAAATTTCATCAAGATTTATTTGACATTTGTGACATTTGCTTTTAACCATAGAAAATAATTTCGCTAATATAAGTCATGGTTTACTAGATTTGTTTTTTGGCCAATAAAATCATCTAAAATGTAAATCGGTTGATATAATTCACGACTGATTTAAAAAATGGATAAAAATATACAGTATTTTTGTTTGTAAATATGTAAATTGTTTGTATATATAAAAAAATTAATTCTGAAGGTAAACATACTTATAACAAACATATAATTAAACATAACAATTAACATATAAAATAGGGATAGAACGATACCGATATTGATATCGGTATATCGGCATATCGGCAATTGTTTCCGATTATCGGTATCGTATCGTATCGGCAAGATAATTGCCGATATATCGGCAAAAAAATTGCGATTTTCACTCTTCAGTGCATAAATGAAATACTTTATTAAACAAAATAAAAAATTTTATTCTAAAGGTAACATTTTTACTAAAAAAGTAAAACAAATCCTAACACCACTTACAACAAATATACCTAATTTAGCAGGTACTAAATACAGTATATACTTAATACTTAATGGATTTTAATCAATACTTAGGTTTTATTTGCAGAAATGCATTAAAACAAAACAAACGAATTCGATAAAAATAAAAACTATAAATTCTCAATCCCTACCACAGTGGGCGGGGTTTGGCACTTGTTTTATTTAAGTGTATCTATTCGTTTTAATAACACTGTATAAGGGGCTTCCCAGAAATCCGAAATGTCACTCACTACCAATCACAAACGTTTCCTCGCAACGGAATTAAAACGGGACTTCCCCGATTTTTGCTTCGGTCGTGTATAAATAGATGGCATTATGTTTGCCGATACGATATATCGGTATATCGGTATATCGGCACGTAAATATCGGTATCGGCCGATATATCGTATCGGCAAAAAAAGTGATATCGTTCTATCCCTAATATAAAATTAATTGATTTATAACTTTCTCTGGTTTCATTGTAAAATAATTACCCCTAACATTAAACTTGGTTGAAAATATTTATTGATTATTTTAAAAACATACTTACCTTCCATAAATGTTTAAATTTTAAAATAATACCTAGATAATTAAAAAAAATACTATTTAATAAATAATAAGGATTATAAAATAAAACCAAAATTGTGTTTAAAAAATATGTGTCTTATTTTTTAAATACTTTTGAAGAATTTTAAATTTTAGACCATGTTCAACTTATTTACTACTTTTAAATTTTTCAATTATGTGCTTGCTCTTCAAATAGAAACAGTAGGTTTTGGGTAAAGGGCTTAACAAGGTAAAGGGGACTTTTTTTCTGAGGAAATTTACACTCTATTTATTTTTGGGCCCACGTAAAAGAAAATGAAATAAAGGGGCAACAACATTTCAAATTGAATATACATATTATAATATTATTAGCAGCTTTTGCCAGTTTAAAAGGCATTTTATAAGAAAATAAATAAATGCACCTTGTAGGTAAAAACAATTGTTTTTTGCTCGAAAGCAAAAACAGGCGCAGTGTATAAAACTTTTTTTTATATTTTTGGTTCAAATTGTTTTTATCATTTGTAATATTTATTTGACAAATAATTAAAAATATGCCCTGAAACAAAATTTTTATTTTTAAAACAAAATACACAGGGTAAAAAAATCTGGACTAGAACTGCAACAGTTAAATTTAAAAAAATTTCTTTATTAAAGTAACAGTTTTTAAAATTTGGGTACCTATATTTTTCAATATAAATTATTTTAAAAATAAAGTTTATAAGGCATGCATAATTTTTTTCATTGGGTTTTACCTTTTAGAAAAGCAGGGATTATTGTCCCATTTCCAGCATAGGATTTTCTTCAGGGGGGTAAACTATATACATGCTACAAAAAGTTTCGAAACTCCACCTCCCACCCATATTTTAGCACAATTTTTCTGGACATGCAATTTTTGAGTATAGCCTCCTCTTTTTGATTAAAAAGTTTATGCTGAAGCCATAATTTATGTATATCAAGCATTAACTAACATATGTTATCT